GATCCAAAAGGCACAATTATAGTTTTAACTATCATGAAAATCTCAAACCTCACGCAATTCAAAATATTTCTAAAATATAAAAGTAAACGTGTTAGAACTGCCACCATATTGTCTCACAGTCGTCCCACATTATTACGTCATAATGCGTGACGGTGATCTTTAAGAAGTTTGGAATTATGTTAATATTAATGAGATTCGTTTGCTGAGGTAACGGATTCGCGTACGGTCCTCCAGAGGGATGGGTTCAAGTGACGTCCGCGATAGAAGGCGAGGCTCTGTCGCAACTTGGTCCGAAGTCCTCCAGTTTAAGAAGGGACTACAAGGCTTTCCTTCGAAGTATACAGCGTCAAAACATATTATCAGTGAATAATACATCGGAAAGAGTATGGAAGGAAACGGTACTGACGTCATGTAAGGAATTTATCCTGCAGTTGCAAAAGAGACCGACGAAGACCACGATAAAACCGTAGCCAGTATAGTCGAACTCCGGACGAGATTTAAACCTTTGGCCTCCCAACGACATTTTGCGCGGCGACTTTCGTATTGGAAAGCTTCTTTGACACTTATACAAAGCTGTAATTTTAATGTAGTAGCTAAAGATTTTCTTTTGTCCTATATTTTCTTCAGAGTAACGATAGAAACAGTCGGTGGACTAATGGTTAGCTCGCCACTGGACCCAAGGTTCGCGGGTTCAATCCCGGCCGAGGTCGATGGATTATTAAGGGTGATAAAAATCCGTAGCACAACTTCCTTCGGAGGGGAAGTAAAGCCGGCGGTCCCATGTCGTAGATTTACGGCATGTAAAAGAACCTTTTAAGCATAAAAGATATGTTTTGTAAGAAAAATTCAGTGGCCATTTCTCACTCAAGTCTCCTGACTAACTGCTAGATGGTTCTGGCAGTCAAATAGGATTGAGTAGAAATTGTGCAGAGTCAGTGGGCTGGTCACTCACTACTCATAAATGCACACATCAAGACCAAAAACCCACAACCGGGTTGTAGAGCCAAGAAAAACCCACAACAACAACGATAGATAAAGCGGTTTCCAAACAGTGGGACAGAAACGTTGGAATTTTCAAGGGGAAGGCTAGGAGCGAGTCACTTGTGCGGTGGTTATAATGCTGACTGCACTGAGGAGCTTATCGGACTGAACGCCCAAACAAAAGAAATGCACTGGCCGTGCCACCTCAGGTACACAGAGTAGGCTCGTCCGCCAGCTCCGCTAGCTTCTCCACCGGCCAAAAACTACTGCGCCGACTATACAGAACTTAAGGAGGTTGATGGAAAGATTATTTGAAGAAAATATAAATAACGTTTTTTTTCCGGTTTGCTACGGTTTCAAAATTACGACGTTTTGCGTTTATGTCGCCTCTATGATTATAATTATAAATTTTTACTTGTTACCGGTACTATTTCCTGTGATCAGAATAAAATAGCAACATCAGCGTAGAAATGTCGTAACTCGGAACCGGTGAGGCTCCTGAAAGAAGTTACTTACCTTTTCTACATCAAATAATCTACCACACAGCCCTCACACGTACTGTGCTGGAACTCTGAATCACCCTGTATACGTGCATATATTCCAGAAGTTTTAAATGACTCCATTTTCAGAACGT